ATGTACCTCAACACACACACCAGCATCTACTTATGCCTAATCCCGGGGGCAGGGTTACAATCAGGCACACATGCCACCCAGGCACTCACCCTCTCCCCTACACACAAGATCACTCTGTGACACCCCCCCTTGACAGATGTGTTCTAGTCCCTAGAACACCACATCATGAAGTCCTAGTCCATGTAACTCTGGGGCCGTACCCCCATGTTGGTCCTTTGGGACCTTCTTGGCTCAGGTAAGGGTGCAGGCTCATCTGGGGCACCCCCTCCTACAGGTAACAAGAGTCTCCACATCGGCACAGGTGGGCTATCTGAATTTTCGGTAGAATCAGACTTCGTGAGCACATAGTGGAGACAAGGTCGAAGGTTGTTTCGATGAATGGTACGTTCTGGTCCATCCTTTCCCTCTGGACGTACTTTATATACAGGACGGTCTGGGTGAAACCTGTCGACAATCACGTAAGGGCACTTTTCCCAGCGATCACCAAGCTTACCAGCCTGTCGCCTCCTGTGGTCCCGCACTAGAACCCGTTCTCCAGACAGAAGCGGGGCGTCTCTGGCTGTTCGGTCATATAGTCTTTTGTTTTTCTCACCTCCTTTATGAAGGTTGTCAGATGTTCTTTTGTATGCATAAGCCAGTTGTGCTTGGTGCTTGGCCACCCAGTCTGTGGTGCACCTAGGGCGGTCGGTTTCCATGCCCCCGACCAGCAAATCCACAGGGGTCCTCATATGGCGGCCAAACATCAAAAAGGATGGTGCGTAGCCTGTGGATGCATGGACAGTATTATTATAGGCTTGAATAAATCCAGGCAAGTACTCCACCCACCTTTGATGTTGTTCTACTTCCAATGTACCCAGCAGGTTCAACACAGTCTGGTTAAAACGTTCACAGGCTCCATTCCCCATAGGGTGGTATGGGGTCGTTCGACTTTTACGACACCCATAAACTTGACAGAGTTCTTGTATCAACCTGGATTGGAAATTAGTGCCTTGGTCCGAATGCAGTACCTCAGGACAGCCAAATGGCTGGATTACATAGGACCACAGGGCTCGTGCTGTTGTGAGAGCCGTTTGATCTAAGGTGGGGACTGCCCACGCAAACTTTGTGAACAGGTCTGTCATAAGTATATTCTGATACCTGTCAGCTGGGCGGCCCAATGTCAAAAAATCAATGGCTACAATATGCATTGGAGCTTTAGCGGTGAGTGGCATTAAAGGGGCTTTACCTTGTGGTCCAGACTTGTGCAGTACGCAGCGCGGACAGGCCTGTAGCCAGGCAGTAATCATGTCCTCCATCTGTGGCCAGTAGAAATTTCTCAGAAGTAAGGCCAGCGATTTATCCAGCCCCGGATGCCCCATCTTCTCATGGTACATAGTCCATAGTAGCTGTGCCTGTGATGCTGGAACAACAATCTGATGGAGTGTTTCTATTGTTTGGGGGTCTTGAACAGTTCTACACACTACCCCATTTCTCAGCTCTAGTCTCTTCCAGTGTCTTAATAGGATCTTGACTGGCTGAGCCAGCGATCGCCTCTCCGTAGCATGTGGCAGCATACCTCTCTCAATGTACTCCTTGACCCTACGCAGATCCAGGTCTTCATCCTGCATGGTCCTCCACCGTTCCAGATCCCAACCCAAACTGCTGGCCAGAGTCCATGAAGAAGTGGCGGCCTCCACTGCTCCTACCGATTTCTCCTGCTCCTCCTGGGCCTGATTTGGAGGGACAGTAGGGAATCTGGAGAGGACATCAGCATTAGCGTTCTCTTTCCCCGGGCGGTATCTAATGGAGTAATCAAAGTTTGCCAACTGTGCGACCCACCTCTGTTCAACAGCTCCTAACTTGGAAGTCTGCAGATGGACCAGGGGATTGTTATCAGTCACAACAGAAAATTTAGCACCCCACAGATAGTCCTTAAACTTCTCCACAATCGCCCATTTCATGGCGAGGAGCTCAAGTTTAAATGAACTATAATTTGCATCATTGCGTTCTGCTGGGTGAAAACTCCGGCTGGCATATGCGATCACACGTTCGACACCACCCTGTTCTTGGGCCAGTACAGCCCCAAGCCCGGTGTTGCTGGCATCAGTGTAAAGGGTAAAAGGCAGGGTATAGTCAGCATATGCCAAAATGGGAGCCTGCAGCAGCTCCCCCTTTAGCCTTTGGAAAGCTGCTTCACACTGACCTGTCCAGTTAACGAGGGGGAGTGCCGCCGCCTGTTGCGACCAGTGTCTTTTAACAGTTCATTGAGGAGTCTAGCAATCTAAGCAAAATCTTCTATAAATCGTCTGCAATACCCCACAAACCCCAAAAATGAACGGACTTGCCTGACAGTAGTAGGAGGTTGCCAGTCTGCTACGGCTGTCACTTTTTCCGGGTCGGGTGAGACTCCCTGGCTGCTGACCACGTGTCCTAAGAACTTCACTCGCCTCTGGAACAGCTAGCACTTCTCAGGACGAAGTTTAAGCCCATAGTGGCCCAGGGACTGAAAGGCCAACTCTAGGTGTTGGAGGTGCTCAGCAAAGCTTCTAGAGAAGACAATAACATCATCAAGATAAACCATTGCTGACTCTACCAACTGATCCCCCAAACATCTCTGCATCAACCTTTGAAAGGTTGCGGGTGCATTACACAACCCAAATGGCATCCTTTCAAATTCAAACAACCCAAAGGGGGTTGTGAATGCAGTTTTCTCCCTGTCCTTTTCTTCAACCTCCACCTGCCAATAACCACTAGCCAAATCTAATGTAGAAAACCATTCTGCTTTAGTCAAGCTAGTGAGTGAGTCTTCAATTCTTGGCAGTGGGTAAGCGTCTTTATGTGTTACACTATTCAGTTTGCGATTGTCTACACAAAATCGCCAAGCTCCGGTTTTCTTTTGAACAAGGACAATGGGGGCTGCCCATGGACTGCAGCTCTCTCGAATGACCCCTCCATCCAACATATCTTCCAAGAGGCTACGTATCTCCTTATAAAGGGTTGGGGGCACTGGCCTAAACCTCTCACGAATAGGATTAGCGTCACCTGTTGGTATGGTGTGTTGCACAGCACCTGTCCGTCCATAGTCATCCTTGTGTGCAGAAAAAACATGTCTCCATCGATGTAAAAGTTGGTTCAGTTGCCTTTGCTCTTCCTCAGCCAGTCCGTCTCCCTTAGGGAAAGAAAAAGCAGGGTTTTCTCCAGTTACCTCTGGTTGTTCTGGAGCAGTGTTGACCAGGCTGACTTCCACCACTCCAGGGCCTACTTCCACCATAGACAGCTCCTTACTGCCTCGGATACCTTCAGGGTTAACAGCAGAAGCAGTTGCCAACCTCTGGAACCTGCTGAGAGTGACAGCATAAGGATGTACATTCCTGACCCTCACAGGAACACGCCCCTTTCCCCCAGTCACCAGAGCTCTTGCCACTTCAACTCCCCCATTTTCCCCTAGGGGTTCTACCAATACGTCACATGGCTGAATTTGAGATGGCAGTGGGATTTTGGCCCAAAGAGTTACTTCACTCTGTGCAGGTATGGTTATGGGGAAGCGGCTGGCTAGTCTGGCTGTAACTTTCCACTGGTCATTAGTAGCAACAGCACAGATGCGTTGACAGTCCATGAAAACAGAGTTCCATTCTTTACCAAGCAGTGGCTTTGGATGTTTGGAGGACGCCTTGTATTTGCTAAAAAGTTCTTCCCAACAGTCAGCAATTACGTTCATCCCAAGGATGGCTTTGTCAGCTCCAACACAGTCATCCTTAGCCACAACAATGCCACGTGCTGGCACCCGGACCCCATGGACCACAAAGTCTGCCACCATATAACCCACCCACGGGATGTTAAGCCCATTTGCTGCCCTCAGTGTCAACCAGGGTAAATCCATAACACCCTGAAGTTGTTTACCCCCAAAGAGGCTCCGGCAGACACTCTCACTAAACAAAGTCACTTGAGACCCAGTGTCTACCACACACTTAACACTTACCCCATCTACTTCCACATCTACAAGGGGGCAGTCTCCAGTCAGCTTAGCTTTAAAAGTGCAGTCAATTGGGTCACTGGGAGGGGGTCCAGACACTTGACCCATAGTGGCGGGGTCACTTAAAATCCTGACCAGATGGCTTAGATGGGCACCTACAACTGATGTGAACAACTTGTTCACACAAATTGCATATGGGCCGGCCTTGGGAATCCCACTTGAACTTAGCGTTACTGTTGCGAGGCATTCTGGGTCTCGGGCTTCTGTTTGGGTGTTGGGAGGAAACAAAATGGGGAGAAGCTACCCCACTCAACTCTTCTAAAATCGTCTTTGTCATGGTTGACATTTGTTCTTTCACATCATCCATAATCTTAGCACACAACTGCTGCTTCCAGTCATTTACTCCCTTTGAGCCTGTAGGTGGTGTTCTAGCCACCGCTAAACAGTCATAAGGTGGCCAGTATTCTCCTTGTTCATCCTCCAGGGCCAGAGCCTCTGTTTTTACCTCCTCAAAAGTGAGCTGTGGCTCCTTCCGCACCTGCCGCCTGAGCTCCTGGCGGATGGGGCCCTCTCTTAGGCCCATAATGAACTGGTCCCTTAGCACTGTATCTCCTTGTTGCCGACTCATGGTGTCTTTCTGCTTCAACCTGGAAAACAGTTCTCATAGTCGTAACGAGAAAGACCTCAATGACTGCTGAGGTTCCTGTCTACAATTGAAAAACTGTGTTCTTAAGGTGGACACATGTGTATTGTCTCCATACAGTTCAAACAGTGCATCAAAAATCTTCTTAAGTGTATTTCGGTCAGTTTGGTCCAACGCTAGAATTTCTCGTTTTGCTTCTCCGTCTAATAGTCCAAGAACAAAATCAGCTTTTTGCGAGTCTCTGATAGGTTGAAAAGTGAACAGTGTTTCTATCTGTCTTTGCCATTCTCCAAATTTAACATCTGACTGTGCACCACTAAATTTTGGTGCCCAAGGTCCACCCATAAAAAAAGGCATCATCATGGGTTGTGCTTCTGATTGGGACTGTTCAGTTGACATATTTATTTAATAGAGGCTCAACCCAAAGGACTAGTCCTGCCGACAACGCCACTTGTAATAGGGGTGAGAAGCCCCGGACACACTGAGTCCCAGGGGGAGCACTCTGTATAAATAAATATTCAACGTGAGGCTGGTTGAAAGGATAGCAAAATGTATTAATAGGCTGGAGTTGTTAAAAAAAACAAAACAATTTAAAATGTTCCTAGTCCGGGGCTAGAGAAAAAAATCCTGGTCAAGCCAG